CTTCAGATCCCGGGACGCTGCACAGGTGAGCACCTCCAGGTGAGTCTTCTGTGTTCCCACACCCGTTCAGGTCAGTCAGACCCGTTACCACAGATCCATGTCTTAATTTAAATTATTTAAAGTGGATAGGAAGTGCAACGGAAGTTGTTTCTAGGAAAACTAGGTAGAGCGCTTTGAAGAGATCTGACAAAGGACAGTTGCTTAAAAAATAACAACTGTGGCCACTGTCCGGGGGTGGGTGGGGCGGGTAGGTGGGAAGGCAGGGGTGGAGCTGGAAAAGACCAGGAAAAAATCATGGACACAGAAGGATTCTGCAGTCAGAGCCCTTTGCTGTACTTTAAAGACCGTGTCACTGGCCCTGGGGTACAGCACGCTTTGGTTTATAAAACAAGGATGAAGCAGAATTCTAACCAGCAGACCCAAAACTCAAAAAGACTGGCACATGGATGTGTACTTACATATTTCATATTAAACTGTATAACATGTGAATATGATTCTTTCTTTTTTAAAAATTGCGTTAAAGTAGAGCTGATTTACAATGTTGTGCTAATTTCTGCTGTCTGGCAAAGTGACTGAGTTATACATATATATATTCCTTTTCATATTCTTTTCCCTTGTGGTTTATCACAGGATATTGAATATAATTCCCTGTGCTATACATAGGATCTTGCTGCTTATCCATCCTACATATACTAGTTTGCGTCTGCAATCCCAAACTCCCAATCCTTCCCTCTGAATGTGATATTCTCTGGCTCCTTTGCATTGATTTTTTCAATTAACCCCCCAGCTCCCATAGCAACTGCGTCAGCTCAAGGTGTTCTCCCTACTGTGTTATATTTAGTTCTGATGGCAAGTTTCACAAGAAGCTCGAAGACACTGCAGGGGAGAGGGCCGTGCATGGAGGAGGCGCCACGGCTCCCAAGCGCCGGGTCCCACGGCTCTGAGGGGCGGGCAGGCTGAAGGACGCGACACAGGGACGACCACCCTCGTCTCTGCCTCTCACCTGTTTGTCTGTGCACCGTCTCCCTTTCCTTTCGAACAGTTACCCTCTCTGCCCACACTCCAGACTGTAAATTAAGTAGGCTCAAAGAACATAAACAAAACACTCGTTATAAATGCCCTATGGATGGACTTTCATCCCATTCACAACTGCCTTTAATCTTAGGCCGTAGGAGACAAACGCAATCATTATATTGGCCTTTGACTCCATGTGTTCCCTAGTCCAGCCTCCTCTGGGATATTAGGACAAGGTTAACACAACAGGCGGAGGATCTTTCTAACTGATGGTCCCAGGTGACTGAAGAAAGCAAGCCCTGTTTACTCACTACAGACATTCACCACTTTTAAATCCATTATCTCTTTTCATTCTCATCGACTTGGAGAGGTGGTTACTGGTGTCCTCATTTGCACAAGTGAGAAATGGAAAAGCAGACGGGGTGGTTTCCTTTTCACACTCAGTCGGCGGGAAGTAAGCAGGATGCCTACCCGGCGAGATTCCAGAACCACATTCTCTTTGCAACCTACTACACGGAGCTTCCCTGGTGCTCAGACGGTAAAGCGTCTGCCTACAATGCGGGAGACCTGGGTTCAATCCCTGGGTCGGGAAGATCTCCTGGAGAAGGAAATGGCAACCCACTCCAGTATTCGTGCCTGGAGAATCCCATGCACGGAGGAGCCTGGTAAGCTACAGTCCTTGGGGTCGCAAAGAGTCGGACACGACTGAGCGACTTCACTCACTCACTCACACTGTCTGCAGAGCTGTGAAGAGCCAGGTAGGTTTTCTTATCAAAGTGTGCGTGCGCGTGTGCGTGCGTGCATGTGCTGCGTGCGTGTGCGTGCGTGCGTGCGTGTGTGTGTGTGTAGCAGGAGAGAGACAGGGTGGACAGGAAGACGTGGCAGAATTAGAAAGGCGTGTCTGCACCCAGAGTTTGCGGAATCAGCGTGTCCAGGAGTAAAGGGCCGGATGAGGACAAGCCAGTCCCAGCTCCGAGAGGAGAAAGAGCTGCTCAGGGTGTTGTGCGGTTGGAGCCCTGGGAGGTTCCCCAGGACAGCGGCTGCCGGAGAAGCAGGGCCAGCCATGAGCCAAGAGGGCCCTGCCCAGGCTTGAATGGAAGGGTCCTCCCCAGAGGCCGAAAGGGTGGGGAGGAGAGGAAGGGGCCGGGACTGGAGGACCCGGTGCACACGTGTGCAGGGCAGGAGCCGTCTGGCGGCTGCGGCGAGGGTCTGACGGAGCTCTTCCGGCCGCTGGGTCGGAGGCAAGTCCACCCGGACTGCACCCTGCTGGGCTGCGACGTGACACCTGCACACGCGTGGCTCCTGCAAGCGGGGGCTGATGCTCACAGCGGGCGGAAGCGGGGAGCTCGGGGCGAGAGTCTGGATGTCCGTCTTAAAAAGCTCTCCAGGGGATTCCGATACAAGCTGTTTTGAGAAACACTGGTCTACCCTTTGGCGCAATTCAAGAAGCAACTCCTGGGTGCCTTGGAAAACAAAGGTGAACATCCACTGACAGATGAATGGATAAAGAAGATGTGCCACGTACATACAGCAGAATGTTACCCAGCCATAAAAAACATGAAATAATGCCATTTGCAGCAACGTGGGTGGACCTACAGATCATGGTACTAACTAAAGTAAGCCAAAGACAAATGTGGTATCACTTACATGTGGAACCTTTAAAAAGCTAGGAATAAATTTATATACAAAACAAAAATAGACCCACAGACATAGAAAACAAACATGGTCACCAAAGGGGAGATGAGAGGGTTAATGAGGGGTTTCAGACTAACAAGGACCAACTGTGAGGAACATATATTCTGTACACCTATAAAGGAAAAGAATATGAAAAATATATATAAAGTATACAGAATATATACGTACATAAAACTGAATCACTTTGCTATACACCTGAAACTAACATGACATTGTAAATCAACTATACTTCAATAAAAAAATAGTAATAATTTTAAAAATTGACAAGGGGGAAGAAAAGACAAATGTGTCCTTACTTGAGTTTATAACCATATCCTCCTCCCACAGATATTTCAGACTGTAGGCGTTCCCTCCAGTTACACGTCAAGGTCACATTTTGAAATTTCAGTACTGCAAACGCTGAAGAAGGATGAATCCTTGGAGTGCTTTTCCCATCACCCGTTGCATCAAATACCACATTACCACAGACGTCTGGAGAAAGGAGCGTCTGTACCGTTCTTTCAGACATTGATTCTTTAGAACTGAGTGAACCTCAGAATCACTTTGAGGGCTTGTTAAAACTCTAATGGCGGGACGTCCCTGATGGTCCAGCAGCTAAGACTCCATGCTCCCAAAGCAGGGGACTGCATTCAATCCCTGGTCAGGGAACTAGATCCCACATCCCACAGCTAAGACCCGGTGTGCATGCATGCTAAGTCACTTCACGTGTGCCCGATTCTGTGTGACCCCATGGACTGTAGTATAGCCACTTTAATGTGCGGAGAACAAGGGATTTGACTCGGGTCCCCACGGCCCTGCTGCCAATCGCGCACATGCAAAATCATGCACATGTTTCTGGGGTAGCCACGCCTCACTCGCTAACACAGTCCCCGTGTCCCATTGCTATAGCCCGTGGGGGCGGGTGGCCAGCTTGGGCCCGTCTGGGTGGTACCGCTCTGTCCCACAGCCTGCACCCACCCCCGGAGGTGGGCTGGGTGAACGGACTGCCGTCTCACAGCTGAGGAAGTCTAGGTTCCCCACAGAGGGGTGGGGGGACATGAACTGCCCACACTAGACTCTGCAGTCTCAAGAGTCTCACTTCCTTGGCACCCCGTTTGCAGTCAGGCGCATGGAGGCCCACGGGGACCCAGGTCAGGTGGGGGTCCCTGGTGGAGCTGGGCGGCAGACCAGGTCACCACCCACCTCCTCACCTCCCTCTCTACCTACGTCCACGGGACTCCTGGTCCCCAACCTGACTGGCCTGGTTGCTGCAATGCTGGAATTCCCATTTCTGATCATCATAGCTTTTCCGTGGACTCTGTTCTGCCACGCCTGCAAGCGGTTACTGCCCACCCTGGCTCAGAGGCAGGCTGCCCCCGGCAGCTCTGCTCAGAACGGCCGCAGGCCTCAAAGCTGGGCGCAGCGGTGCCGAGGCTGGCTGCCGGCTGGCGCTGGGCTGGCAGATGCCCCTGCCTTCACTCTGCACAGAGAGCCGCTTCCTCATCCATATTACTCTGGCACAGGCTGTCCTGTCTGGCGGGGCCCCCTGACCCCACTGGCCCTGCGCTCCCAAGGTGACTTGAGAGCATGCAGACAGCAGTCCACTAGCTTCAATCACCCCAGATGCTGTGTGCACAAGAGACGGGTCTAAAAAGTCCACGGTTTCGCAGCTTTAAAATCCACAGCAGCAAACTTCAGAAATGTACCAGCTCTTCCCAAATCCCAGCAGAACACAGCTTGGGGAATTCCTCTGCCCAGCGCCCAGATCTGGTGGCCTTTCGGGTCAATATGCCAAAGCCATCCTGCAGCACTTCACGGGCCAGGGACCTAAACGCCCGGTGCCTCGGCTTCCTCATCTGTAAAGTGGAAGCATCACAGCACTCACCCATAGACTCACCGTGAAGGTTAAGAGCACAGGCGCATGTACACTTGTTCTGGTGTATAAATTTCTGCGGCCCCCGGTCAGAGCGGGGCCAGAGGGCTGTGCTCAATGCTGACGACGCTCTCATTGTCACGGGGCCCACAAACCATGCGTCCACCTCACTTATGTCACTTGGACTTTTCAGATGAGTGAAGAAGAATCTGTTCTACCCAGTGGTCGGGTACACACGATGTGTGTTTTCTACCGAAGGGGAAAAGTGGGGGCCTCTCTCCCACCTTGGGGGGCACAGGAGGGTCCCCAAGGACAACAGAGGTCCTAGGGGTGTCCAGACGTCCACCTGCTGTCTAGCGGCAGCCTCGCTCAGAGGAGGAAGTGGATAAAACCACCACGGCCCAAACAAAAAAGCATCGTGGCCAAACCCCACACTTACGTCCAGAACCGTCCATTGTTCGACTACAATAGCATCGTAGCCCTGCGTGTTTCTGCTGTCTTCTGTGGAAACGGCTTCAAAGATGAAGACTCCATCTGTCAAGTCGTGCAAGGAATCTGTGGAGAAAGAAAAAGCGGGGCGGGGGTGGGTGGTGGTTGCTGTAAACCGTCTGTGGCAGAAGCCTCACAAGCAGTGAAAATGTTCACTGCATTCATTAATAATCCCAATCAGAACATCTTTTCAGCATGTTAATTAAAGAAGGCACACACAGTCGTAGAGTCTAGCCCCATCAGAATGAATGAGACTCATTTACCTCGCGGTTTTGAATAATATCCTTGATTTTATGAGCCCAAACCTCATTGTTAGCAATCACCATTTGATTTCACGCGCTCACCTTCCTTTTCACGCTCTAGCGTCAGGAAGCACTGGGGAGAATGGATTCGGGGGGAAAACGCAGGCATTCAGGGACAGTTTTTAGGAGAAAACTATACAGAGGGGAGAGAGATTGTCTGGAAGGGGGGCTGGGTGTAACACAGCAGCTCTGGGCTCGCAGGCCAGATCCACCGGTGCTGGTTCCTCGACAACTGTGTGACGTGCGTGCCGAACACAGGACGCTCATGTCAGGAGGTGAGATTTGGGGAAAGGGGGACTTTTTCCAAATGATTTGCCACGGAAAACGTTTCCTTGGGCGTATCAATGGTAAGATTCTGAGTTCTGTACAATTCATCAAACCTACGTCACGCGTGGCTCCTAGATGCCCTGGATCCACTTAGATGAAGAGCTGTGTGAATAGAGAAATGGACTCAGAAGCAGGTGGTTGGGCCCGTGCTGTGGTGGAAAAGGAAAATGACCCTTCCAGGGGCCTGTCCTCTTATCTGTGAAGGGGGAGTAGGGACACAGAGTTCCTGCCGGTCAGTACTGTACAAATCTGCTCCGTCACACCCTCCTGGACTGAACTCTGTCCCCAACCTCACTCCCAACTCAGATGCTGACACTCTGACCTCTAAAGTGACTATATTTGGAGACAGATCTTTTCCGGGGGTAGTTAAGGTTCAGTGGTGTCATAAGGGTGGGCCCTAGTCCAACAGGACTGGAGTCCTCAGAAGACGAGGAAGAGACACCAGAGCGCCCCCCAGCCCCCCAGCCTTGTGAGAGGAAGGGCTATAGGAGGACACAGAGGTTGCTGCCTGCAAGTCAGGAAAGGAGACCTCGCCGGAAACACAACGCGCCAGCCCCCTGACCACGGGTGTGCAGCTCCTGATCCATGAGAAAATAAACGTCTATTGCTCAAGCCCCGCAGTCCATGGAGTTCAGTTACAGCAACAGACATCAAAAATGTTTAATGGTATAAAGGGCAGTTCACACAAGAATGTGATCTTGTCTTCATCCAGAAGGGAAGGGGGACAGACACAGAAAGCCCCAGGCACAGTGGAGTTCAGGAACTGCCTGCACTGTCCAGCAGTCACAAGCGGACAGACAGACGGACACACACAGGGACCTTCAGCGCCTGACTTCCAACAGATCTCTCAAGCAAAACCAAAAAAGCCATCAGGATGAGAAACATGCGTTTTATTTGCACCAACAAAATAAGGAACAAATAGATGGCTCTGCTTACCACTCTTTATTGTACAGAAAAAGCTTCCAGCACTGAAGGGAATTTTAACTGCACAACCTTTCCAGAGAACAACTTAGCAAGGTCTCAAAAGCCCAAAAAACAAAAGTCCATCCTCTTTCACTCCAGAGACCCTGCCTCCTTCAGTCTATTCTGAGCACCTACTACGTGCCAGGTGCCCTTGAGGTTATGGGTGATAAATGAAGACCCTGCCCTCATGAAGCTTTCCCCCGCCCTGGGGCAGGGAGATGATGACATAGCGTGCAAGAAGGTAAATGCTATGAGAATATAAAGTGGGTTAGGGGAGGAGGTGTGTGGAGTTGGAGGTAACTGTGCGGCTCTTTCTGACCAAAATGCTCAGAGTAGAGATGTGAGCTAACTTCAAGCAAGCCGCATGGGAACACGGGCTTTGAGAGTTCAAGGGAGAAGACACAGCTGAATAGGACTGCAGAGTGACTGAGGGGCCACCAAGGGCCAGATAAGCAGCAAAATCGTGAGAAGAAAGTCAAGATCAAGTCAGCTTAGGGCTGGGGAGGAGACCAGCCCACCAGGGGCTGACCCAGGTGACTTGCTTGGCCAGTGGGATTTCAACAGATGGGATGCAAGCGGGGGCTTGCGAAACATGGGCAGGGCTGAACCTGATCTCACGTCTCTGCCACCACTTTGAGAGGACGTGCCCCAGCCGCCTGCCCCAGTGGAGCACAGCCTAGATCCGCTGACCCTCAGACCTGAGAGTGGGCCCAGCTGCCTCAATGAAGCTGCTCCAGCCAACATGCAAATACGGAAGCTTTGGAGTGGTTCGTTACACAGCATTACCGTGGCAATAACTGACCGTTACAAGGCTCGATCAAAACTTAAGACATTCGAGGCCAGGAATACCTGGGGGATATTCCTGATTATTCCAGAGTGAGAGAGGGGCCCGATCAACTCAGCAAACCACGGCTCTCAGGGGAATTCCTGGAGCATGGTAGCCTCATATTATTCCTACCTGACAAAACAATACTCCATTTCCAGTAAGATCCCTGTGGGTTAATCAGTACCACTCTCTGCTTTTACTTTTATTTCCTAAACCAATAGTTTGTTATCAACTAGCCTTAGCAAAAGCACTAACCTTGTTTCTCTCATTTGCTCTGCTGAAAAGTTCCTCCCAAGTCCAATGCCCTTCTAAGACACCTTTTACTAAGGTAAGCAAGGAAGAATAGAACTACTCTTCGGCTGAACCAAACTGTAAGTCTTTCGGGGTCCAGGACAAGCTTGGGCAATAGTCTAGCTCACTTTTTAAGTTTTGGGCAACACAGGTCCAGCGGAAGACCCTGCCACTGGAGGGACACCCTGTGGAACCCTTGTGAATAAAGCCCTGACCTGGGGATGCTGGGACCGGAAGATACTCACTGATCCTGCAGCACCATATCAACATAGCACACATGCCTACAAGGCTTCTACAAAATATATTACACCCCATTTTCAAAGTCTCCACCTACAGATCTCCTCACCGGTAAGCCTGCAAGTCCTTTAAATGTGCCCAGCTCCCTCTGAGTATTAGAATGCCCAGCGTGACACAGCTGAGGTCCCCAGGGGGACGGGGACTTGCTCTCCTAACCCCTGCCTGGCCTCCCCTCCTCCGCCCACAGGGAGGAGGGCTGTGTGGTCCAGGCTTGGGGGCGGGAAGCAGGAACCAATTGGGTCCTTGTTCACCATCCTCCTCATTCAGTGCCACCTCCAGCCTCTCAGCCCACTGCTCTGCTCTGAATCCAGAGTGCTGATTCACCCACTTAACTACCCAGCACGTTCAGAGAGGCTGTCAAAATCTGGTCATCTGTAACAGCAAAAAAGTCAATGAACCACAGAGAGCAGACAGCTGGGCTTTTAAAGAGCCCCTTGTTTTGATGGCCTCATCCACAGCCCGTCTCTCTATCACCCTCTCAGCTCAGCCTCGCTGCCGTGTGCTCCGAGCTGGGATTAAAAGGTCGCTCTCAGAGCGAGGCTCCCCCTGCAAAAAGGTTAACTCACCCTCCATCGATGGAAAACACTCCATTATCACTGCATTTTTTATTAAAGTAAAGATGCTTCCCTACTGTGCACAGGAAGCTGTTTGCCCTGGCATTGTATAAATATTTGATGCTGGCCTTTGGGCAAAAGGCCGCCTCAACTTTCCAAGCTTACGATATACAAGAAGGGTGTGGGAAAAGGAGACTCGCCCTGTTCCCCCAAGAGGTAAATGCTGTGAGAAAACTGCTCACCCTCTGCAGCCTCTGGGACACGAAGACCCTGTCAAGCAAGCGATCCTTCAGTCCACCCTGGGCGCTGGTCCTCTGCCAAGGCCAGCCTGAAATGCACACGTCGTGACAACTGGCCGATATATGGTCTACTAGAAGATGTCACTGTTCTCCTTTTATTGGGTTGGCCCAAAAGTTCATTTGCTCTGTCTGTAATATCTTAAGGAAAAACCTGAACGAACTTTAGAGCCAACCCAATAATACACTAAGATGGTGTAAATTACCCATACTGGCCTCACTGGCATCCCAGACGTACTTGGCCCCCTGGCATCCCTTCTCCCTACCAGCATGGCAGTCATGGCACCACTCTGGTTCCAGGAGTGGCTTATACCAACCGCTCAGCCCTACCTGCCTGGGTTATACAGATACGCATCCCCACTGCAAATGGAATCAACCCATCTGGGCAATGGTGCGTGCCACTCCTGATTCACACCACAGGGTTTCTGCCTCTCCTGCTTCTCCAGCCCTCACTGCTGCTCTCAACCTGCCTGCCTTCCCGCCCTGCAGTCCCTGCTGGAAGCGGTGAAGAAGCCAGAGGAGGTGGAGCACCACTTCAGTGCCGGTAAGGGTCAGACTCAAAGTTGTGTCATTTACCTGACTGGATGACCAGATGGGAAGGAAGTGCCCTGATCTGGTGCATGCCGACTAGGAGGCCCTCTGCCAGGTGCATTCATGGCTTCTCGGTGAATCTTCTCCCCAGTTCTGCAAGGCTTATATTTCCCTCTAAGTGGTGAGAACATGGAAGGAAGCTACAGGACTGAAGTCATATGTCCATGTTCAAGTGCACACAAGGGCCAATCTTGACCTGAAAGTAGTTTGTTTGATTCCAAAGCCTTTGTTCTTTCAAGAGCTGACAGACACTTAATTTTGCTACCACGAGGATGTGCCAGGGCTGTGGTCCAGCCGGTGGTGGGCGATGGACAGTCTCAGAGCCTGGTCTCATGGAGCAGGCGTGCTCTGACCATGAGGCTGTGCTCCGCCTTCGTATTTTGGGTGCATCCCAGGGGAGTTGCAGTGAGATGGCCTGACAACTTCTGCTGGGGACCAAATCTGTGCAGGGGCTATCCTTTCCCGCAGTGGGCAAAGAAAGACCAAGAACATGCTTGTAAAAGGATAAGCTGTAACTATCAACCAAGGGATAGCACACAGCAGTGAGAAAAAATGATCCAAATGATGTGTAAAAATGGGGATGAATCTCACAAACAGGATGATGGAAAGAAGCCAAACA